CATATGTAAAACATAGTCTCGAAAACACATAGGCTACATAGTATTTATTTTTAATTTAAAGGACGGAAACGCGGGCAAAAGTTAGTTCCAAAATCCAATACAAACTCAAAAGACATTTTACTAAGTAGCTGTTTGTGCTTATTTAAAAATACGTAAAAACTTCATCTACACCGGCGCATTGTATGTACTGTGAACTCAAAGGACCTAGTCCTTAGACATAGCAGTTTACATTAAACAAACTGCGTCGATAAAACATTCAAATAGTTGGAATTCTTTGCGTAAAGTCTTTCCTAACGCATGTTTAATTTAGTACTAGAAATTCTTGCGTAGAAATCTTAGACTATTAGACGTGTTTCTCTCACACACTTTGTACCTGTTAGTGTTGCCTATGTTATGTGTTGTTATTCGCATTATGGATCGAATCATTAATCCAATTATTAGGTAGTTTGAAATATATTCATTGAGATGAATATCAAAATTTTTACTCTAGAACCTTCGTTGTTAAAAAAGTTATGAATAAAAAAATACTGTGGAATAAGGTATCATGTGATGTTGATTTACTACAGGTAAATTTATCACATGTTCAGTCATTTGAAAACATTGAAAGACGTGAGGAAATGTTTGCGTGCAACACAGGATTTTAAATTCGTCCCTTTGTGCAAATCGGCCGAGTGCATTGCATTGACCCCGTACACTGGTCGTACAAGCTGACCCCATTCTTGCCACCTTATTCGTCGCCTTGCAGTTGCAATGATTGCTCGAGGATTTCTTGTTATAACTAACACTTAGCACTTTCCGTGTTTGTTTTTTTGTTGCTTACACCTTCAAAAAGGTTTGGACCTTTTTGTATTTAGTCATCGTTTACATTGAACCTTTTTTTGTTTTTTTTTTGTTTAATCCTGTCAAACTCTCTAGACTCGAAATATATATATAATATCACTTGAAGTTATAGATTCTCAATTAGAGAGTAGCAGGCCCTTTAAATTTAACTAAAAAAAAATAAATGCAAAAAGGTTATTTTGATGCCCAAAAGGTATGTTACTTGAAATAATTTTGTAAATTACCGTTATGTTCAGTTGAATGTGCTACGAACGAGACGTTAAATTCAAACGGATAAGCTCTGAGCATTGAGTCACGGCTATTTGTGACCACAGACGGTTTTTTTGTTGCTAACTGTATAACTATGGTCATCTGCATACGTGGGCGATGAATGGCAAGTAACCATGAATTAGGATTATTAAAAAATAAGTCATTATTATATGTCGTTTGAATTATTATTTTATTCCTCTTATTAATTTTTTACTATATAATCTTATATATAAAATTCTCGTGTCACAATTTTCGTTCCCATACTCCTCCGAAACGGCTTGACCGATTCTCATGAAATTTTGTGAGCATATTGAGTAGGTCTGAGAATCGGCCAACATCTACTTTTTAATACCGCGCAGACATAGTCGCGGGCTACAGCTAGTTTATTATAATAAAATACAATTATTAAATATCTCAACGTTTTGCTCCTTATTAATTAAAAGCGTAAATTAGCAGAAACATGTCTTTATCATTTTATTTAGACTAACGAGGTCATTAGTAACTACGTCGACCTCGCGATACATTGATAGAGCACCTTTTCATTGTAAAATGCTCAAAATCTAATATAGTAATAAATATTCTTATGAAAAAGAAGAAAGCCCATTAAAATTTTATAATTTTTTTTGTTTATTATCCTTTTTTTTCCTTAAAAAGGTTACAACTCGTAATATAATAATTAATATAAAAAGACTTGCGAGGTAAAGGGTTACATCTTAAAGTAGATGTAACTCTTTTCAACCTATGAGTCGTAAAATGTATTTTTTTTAAGTCTTTAGGTACTCATAAACATTTAAATGTCATAAACAATTGCTTTAGCGTAAAAAAAAACTGTTTACGAAGAAAAAATAACAGGCACCCAATATCAGTGAGAGTTTACAGCCACGTACTTTTAATGACCTTATTGAGTTCAATAACCTATCATTTAGTATCAGGTGGTTTGGTAACCGTTAAAACAGGACATAGAAACTACTTCCTCTGTCTTCGAAAACAAATTAGATAACTCGGTTGAATAATAATTTAGTGACCGAATTGTTGGCGCGGCGGAGTCGCCATATCGGTTGGTAGGTCTGTGATTTATTAGTTCAAAGTGCATTCTCGATTTACTTAAAATAGTCCAATGCTCTATTACATGGCAATAGTTAAAAGGATTTTAGTCCTCTTTCCCTTTCCACCCTTTTTCTCATAAGGAAAGGATGGAAAGTGGAAGTGGACTTTCCGGATGAGCGGAGGCATGGAAGGGGAAAATATTATCTTTCTGTGCATCCTCTCCTCCGTCGATTAAAGGTAGGGAACGCATATGCAATTGCGTACGACTATGGGCAACGGTCACTTCGCTATTTCAGCGATTTCAAGTGGCCGCTCGCTCGTTTGCCACCTTATGATATAAAAAAAAGGAAAAGGAGTGTCCGTAAACTACAAATTTGTAACGTACATGCGTGCACACCCTGTATAAGGTTTTGTGCCAAGAACATTCCAGAACCCAAAACACAATTATATTACTGTCTCTATTTTTATCTAAGAGTGTGAGAGAGATAGCATAATATTTTTGTACATCCACAATTTTATAAGACAGTAAGTACATTTATAGAATATTTAGTTAGACGCGTAAAATTTCAATCCTTATACGTATGTATTTTTAACGTGTGTTGGAATCGAGTTGAGCTAACAGTGAGTCACTGTTGAATCCTTGGCAGATTGCGTCATTTGTATCCGAGTCGGGTTTCGACTGTCTGTAACATCAGTCACCGACAAATTGTTTATACCGCCCTTTTGTAATTTGCCTAAATAAATGTTTAAAAACCGTCGTATATTATGGAAATTAGTAAAAATGTCCGCGATTGTTATTGGCTGCGAAGAAAATGATTCTTTTAACGTTAATATGTTTGAGTTAGCTCGTTATACAATTTTCCGAATCCACGTTTTGGCAGTGACATATCCACGAAAAGATTCACTTCAATTCCAATTAATAAGCTGAGTCGGCGCCGCACTCACAAATTGATAAAGTTATTTGCGGCTTGTTTCGAGAATTACGAATAAAGTGTAACAAATAAGGTTTTATTTAGCAAAATGTTTCTTTTATTTGCTGAAATTAAATCATTAAAGCAATGTAAATATAGAAACAAAGTATAAGAGATACAAGAACGAATGATTTTGTAAAGTATTACTGTATACTATATGATAAACAGGTGAAGTTTTGGCCTCTATAATATTTTTATTATAATCAGCCCACTATACTCGGCTGAGGGGCTCGGAGCCTAGCCTAAGTCAGGAGTGACTAGGTTATGTTGCCAAGTTAAGGATAATAAGCATTATATTTGCTTCTATCATCATCATCATCATCAGCTCACTATATGTCCCCACCGAGGGGCTCGGAGCCTACCCTAAGTTTAGGGTAACTAGGCCATAGTCAACCACGCTGGCCACGCTTTGCTACTATACTTTAACAAAAATATTTTTCATTATTCGTCTTTGTTAATAATATTATAGAGCAACGTAAAATTCTCTAAAGTATGTAATGGAAGCTGATAAAATTAATTTATGTTAGTTCTTAACGCGTAAGTTAAAATTACTTTTTTAAATAATAACATCTCGTTTAACCAACTTGTATTAAAAACAGTTACCGGACAGGACCGTGTCTTATTGGTAAAAACAGCTAGATTAGTTACCGCTGGATACTTTTTTTTTTTGTTTTATACAAAAATATTAGTTATGGGAAAGTTAAGTAACTTAATTATTGTAACTATTATGTAATACATAAATAACATGGTGGAATAATATAATAAGAGGCGCAAGAATTTGTGAAAGTTGGTTAACATAGCGCGCACTTAAATTTAATTATAATTATTTTGTTTAATAAATAATTTAACGCACGCATCCACCAAAATTGTCAGGAAGTATAACATACTTACCTCTTCATACAAATATGAACGGAACAATTTATTCATCATTGTAGATCCAACTATCTTACTAGTTTGGATGGATGGATGGATGTTTGTTAAAAAGTATCTTCAGAATAGCTGAATGTATCTCGCTGAATTTTGTCATAGATATAGAACATAGCCTGGAAGAACACATAGGCTAATTACGTTTGTTTTTTAAATTACGGACAATGTCACGGGCGACTGTAAGTTGAAAATAAATTTTGAGTTTTTGGCTTGTTAAAAAAGGTTAGAATAGAATGGGTAATATACTGACCTATTTAGTAAATAAAGGGTCTTTCAAGAAGCGAGCTTATTACCATCTTAAAGGCCGGCAGCGCATCTGCGGTTCCTCTGGTATTGCTGATGTCCATGGGCGTTGTTGAACACCTCGGTATTCCCGCTGCTCGTTTGCCCCCTTACGTTTAAAAAAGTGTGGTTAGAAGTCTTCCAAAATTAATTTATTTCGCACTTAAATGATACAGTTAATTATGTTAGTTACATGAGTGTGGTTATGATTTATAATGTTATGTCAACACATAAGCTAAACAGCTTGTTTGCCCTTGCGTTATCAACGCGACCTTGCATAACGCACGACTATGTTGCACCGATTATACACAATACTAATGCAAATTTATTTCGTTTTTTTTTTTAATTCTTTCTATGTTTTCACTAAAAATATTCACCGAAAATTGAGTGATTCATCTTCATTGCATTTTGATGACTAAAACTCTTTGGTATTTCAATTTGAACTGTTACTTTAAATTTTTCGTAAGTTATATACTAAGGAAATTCCACAATAATGTATCATCATGGTTATTCTAACTTGTCCTCTATAGTTCATGAGCAAGTAACTCGATATCCTTGACATTGTCCCCGCCCTTCTGCAAATACTTTCTAACTAACATCCATCCATTAATCTATACTTTCGCGTGTATAATATTTAGTGAGATTGTTACGTTTGTTTTAATGAATTATATCAAATCGTTACAGATCAACAGCAAATACAGCGAGGAGTTGGCTGAGGAGTGCTTAGAATGGGTGCGTCAGATCACTGGCGAGCCCCAAAACACGTCCGGAGATATGGATAACTTCTTCGAAGTGCTTAAGGATGGTACTCTTTTGTGCAAGTAAGTATACTGTTTAACTAACCTACAGACTTCAGCAATTTATTCATAATATAAACTATCTTGACCTAACGCTGAGCGTTAATAGCAATAATTTTCTTTACCTTAGTAAAGCTTACTTTATCTGCAATCAGTGTCTAAAACTTTAAACAGATGTAATACTTTAATATGTGGCATTGCCTCAACGAATATTAAAAACTTAAGTATAATTTAAAGTGCCTAACCATTGGTTTCTAAGACCAAATCTATGTACAAAACACATCGTCATCCCCCTCATCTATGACAAAACAGAGATAATATTAGTTTTATATGTGTCAAGAAGTTTTAAGAAAAATATGTTCATTATTTAAAAATTTGTTGTCCTTAATCGATATTGTTCCTATGTTCAACCCCTCCATTAAGGAAGGCACCCCTTTCTGTACTAAGGGGTGTGGACACAAGGAGTGCCGTTGCGTGCAAATAACCTTTTAACACCGCTGCTCATGAAAACATAAAATCAAGCTATGATATTTTCCTTATTAACTATGTGTTTTACCGTAACAGTGGTTAAACGATAATAGAAAACGCGATGACACGATAGTGTTACAATGAGATATTTTAAAAATGATAGACCTATGACATCTTCCATGCATAAACAAAACTAAACTGCAGGAAATTAATAGCAAATTTCTTGTTTAATTCAAGCTAATTTTAGTAACGTTTAACTTAGTAACTAATACTTAGTTCCTACAACATTTTATTTCGTTAATAATTAACTTTACGTGGAAGACTACAAATGTATTACACTGGACCTAATAACGTGTTTGGAACACAAAACCTTTTGTATATTTCGTACAATACCATACCCTTATTTTCCAGATTGGTGAACAACATCAAACCTGGCATGGTGAAGAAGGTGAACGAATCCAAGATGGCGTTCAAGTGTATGGAGAACATCAACGCGTTCCTGGAAGCAGCGCGTCAGCTCGGCG